CTAAAACAGTCATAATCCCAAAATCGAAAGTATGGACCGGAGTTGCCATTTAAGATGGCGCGTCTAAAGCTCCAAAAATGACTGTTACCGGCAAAAATAGTTACTGACAAGATGTAAACGGCCGGGGGTCTTTTTTAATCCCCGGTGTCCAGCCCGCAATCGTTGCCATCCTCTTTGATTTCTCCATGTGTGCAGGCTCGATGCTCATAATGCTACCAAAGAGAGCAGGCTCATCGTATTTAAAGACCTCAAGTCAAAGAAAACAAATAGGACAAACACTTCACCGAGGGTTTCTCAGTGTAGTTAGTGCGCGTGCATGCTGTTGGGATAAGTAAATAAAGCGCAAACGCCAACCAATCCCTAAAAGATCGTAGGGTCCCAACGTTTCGGTGCCGGCTCGGCACCTTCTCAGGGGTGCTATTTAAAAGAGAAGCAGCTTCTTTTCTTCTGCGGTGAATGTAGGGCACTATCTTCGTTTTTTACGGTGTTTAGTTTTCAAACCAGGTGCGGTACCTTCGTTTTTTTCAAAGTTTGTTATTTACAACCGAGTATCAGCATCTTCGTTTTCCTCTATGGTAGGGGCTGTTTTTTGGTGTCTCCTCTAAGTGTCGTAGTCCACTGACGTATGCTGAGGGCAAGGTGCCGGAGGATCGATTAATATTTCCTGGTGTGGTCTGTATGCGCCATGACTCAATAAAGAGCCGCTGCCGCCAGTTGATTTCTACATCCAGGATTCGGGTATTATCAAAGTCGATGCGGTGGTCACTGTCCTCGCAGTGTTCCGCAACAGCGCTACGCTCTCAATAAAATTTTCGTACGCCATTTTTATGTTGGCGGAATCTTTCCTTGAGGTTTTTTATTTCGCCGACGTATGAAGCGGAACACTCAGCACAGGGAATTTTGTACACAACGCCTTGTGCTTTTTTTCTCTCGCTGGACGGTGTTTCGGACGAGGCATTAGGCGCCCAAGTGTCGAAACAGGTTTGTGAGCCACCTGAATACCTTCTTTGGCCAGCGTACGAGTCAGAGTTTCTCTAGTTCCCTTTATATAAGGTACACAGACGCGGATGTTAGGGCGGGACTGCGTACTATTCTGTGGGGGCTCAAGACTGCGACCAAGACGACGGGCAACACGGCTGATGAAGCTGTTGGTGTAGCCATTCTTTTTGAGGTCGGCCGATGACAGCCTGTTCTTCACTTTCTTTATCTTTCTTTGAGGAGCAGATGTTCCGAGCTCTGGACAACAGGGTCGCAACCACCGACGCCTTGTGACTCGAAGGGTGGTATGAGTCAAACCGAAGGTAACGTCCAGTGTGGGTCGGCTTCCTGTATACAGTGAACTCCATGTCTTCACCTACTCGCTTGACAAGCACGTCCAGAAACGGCAAGGTGCCGATTTTTTCAAGCTCTAATGTAAACTGGATGGCCGGGTCGATGGAGTTTAGGTGTGCTAGAAAGTTGTCCACCTCTGATGTTTTTAGGATACAAAAGCAATCATCGACGTACCGTAGGAACACTTTGGGGCTAGCCGGAAATGAGTGCAGCGCCCTTTGTTCGATTGCTTCCATCGTCAGGTTTGCCGTAGTAACCGAAATAGAAGCTCCCATTGCGGTTCCGCTGGTCTGGCTGAAGAACTCTCCTTGGAAGCTGAAGTAGGTGCTGTGAAGGCAGATTTCAAGGAGGCAGCATATTTCATCCACGCTAAGGCAGGTTCTTTCGTTCAGGTCTTTCTCCTTTTCGAGAGTATTTCTGGCTGTGGCTACAGCCAGGGGCACTGGAACGCTTGTGAACAGTGAAATTACATCGAATGACACTAGACTGTCCTCGGTGGTGACCTTGAGCTCTGAAACAAGCTCCACGAAATGACCGGCGTTTCGTACGTTAGTTGGCGTTCTTCCAACGAGAGGGGAAAGGGTGCGATGGAGGTAGTTGGATAGCGCCCGAACCGGTGACGTTGTAAAATCCACGATAGGCCGGAGGGGATCATTCGGCTTATGGATCTTAGGGAGTCCATAGAGTCCAGGAGCAGAGTCATTTCGGCATATGAGCCGTAGGTAAACGTTCTTTGATTCTGGATGTTTTTTGAAAATTCCCACCAGAAGTTTGTTCATATTTGTCTGAACTTGTGTGGTGGGGTCCTTATTGAGTTTCTGATAAGCCGAGCTGTCCAGAAGATCCTTCACCTTTCGTTCGTAGTCTTCCCGATCTAGGACGACAGTCGAGTTACCCTTGTCCGCCGGTAAAAGCACAATCTTTGTGTCATCTCTCAGCTGCCGAAGTGCTGACGACTCTTCTCTTGATATGTTGTATTGTTGACGCAAAGGCATTTTCGACAGAATGCTGACTCAGAAGGAAAAGCGATTGAAGCTGAAAAAGAAACCTGAAGCAAGATACGGCTCCGACACTACCAGGTTTCTTACAAACCACTCCTCAGGGGAACTCTCATCGGTCGAGACTGCTGTTTTGGCAAAAGGCCACGGCTTTAACGTGACCACGACAAGGCCGCCCACACCAAAGATTGTCTCCACAACAGAAGACGGCATCACGCAATTGAACTTAAGCGCCCAGGAACGGGTCCGACAGCAAACGGTCAGCATTCTGTCAAAAATGCCTTTGCGTCAACAATACAACATATCAAGAGAAGAGTCGACAGCACTTCGGCAGCTAAGAGATGACACAAAGATTGTGCTTTTACCGGCGGACAAGGGTGACTCGACTGTCGTCCTAGATCGAGAAGACTACGAACGAAATGGGAAGGATCTTCTGGACAGCTCGGCTTATCAGAAACTCAAAAAGGACCCCACCACACACGTTCACACAAATCTGAACAAACTTCTGGTGGGAATTTTCAAAAAACATCCAGAACCAAAGAACCTTTACCTACGGCTCATATGCCGAAATGGCTCTGCTCCTGGGTTTTATGGACTCCCTAAGATCCATAAGCCAAATGTTCCCCTCCGGCATATCGTGGATTTTACAACGTCACCGCCTCGGGCGCTATCCAACTACCTCCATCGCACCCTTTCTCCTCTCGTCGGAAGAACGCCAACTAACGTACGAAACGCCGGTCATTTTGTTGAGCTCGTTTCAGAGCTCAAGGTCACCACCGAGGACAGTCTAGTGTCATTCGATGTAATTTCACTGTTCACAAGCGTTCCAGTGCCACAGCCAGAAATGCTCTCGAAAAGGAGAAAGACCTGAACGAAATAACCTGCCCTAGCGTGGATGAAATATGCTGCCTCCTTGAATTCTGCCTTCACAGCACCTACTTCAGCTTCCAAGGAGAGTACTTCAGCCAGACCAGCGCAACCGCAATGGGAGCTTCTATTTCGGTTACTACGGCAAAAATGACGATAGAAGCAATCGAACAAAGGGGGCTGCACTCATTTCCGGCTAGCCCCAAAGTGTTCCTACGGTACGTCGTTGATTGCTTTTGTATCCTAAAAACATCAGAGGTGGACAACTTTCTAGCACACCTAAAGTCCATCGAGCCGGCCATCCAGTTTACATTAGAGCTTGAAAAAAACGGCACCTCGCCGTTTCAGGACGTGCTTGTCAAGCGAGTAGGTGAAGACATGGAGTTCACTGTATGCAGGAAGCCTGTATACACTGTATACACTGGGCGTTACCTTCGGTTTGACTCATACCCCCCTTCGAGTCACAAGGCGTCGGTGGTTGCGACCCTGTTGTCCAGAGCTCGGAACATCTGCTCCTCAAAGAAAGATAAAGAAAGTGAAGAACAGGCTGTCATCGCCGACCTCAAAAAGAATGGCTACACCAACAGCTTCATCAGCCGTGTTGCCCGCCGTCTTGGTCGCAGTCTTGAGCACCCACAGAATAGTACGCAGTCCCGCCCTAACATCCGCGTCCGTGTACTTTACATAAAGGGAACTAGCGAAACTCTGGCTCGTACGCTGGCCAAAGAAGGTATTCAGGTGGCTCACAAACCTGTTTCGACACTTGGGCGCGCCTAACGCCTCGTCCGCAAGACCGTCCAGCGAGAGAAAAAGCACAAGGCGTTGTGTACAAAATTCCCTCTGCTGAGTGTTCCGCTTCATACGTCGGCAAAACAAAAAACCTCAAGGAAAGAGTCCGCCAACATAAAAATGACGTACTCAATTTTGACCAAGAGCGTAGCGCTGTTGCGGAACACTGCGAGGACAATGACCACCGCATCGACTTTGAAAATACCGAATCCTGGATGTAGAAACCAACTGGTGGCAACGGCTCTTTATTGAGTCATGGCGCATACAAACCACACCAGGAAATATTAATCGATCCTCCGGCACCTTTCCCTCAGCATACGTCAGTGGACTGCGACACTTAGAGGAGACACCAAAAAACAGCCCCCTACCATAGAGGAAAACGAAGACGCTGATCCTCGTTTGTAAATAACCAACTTTGAAAAAAAAAAGAAGGTACCGCACCTGGTTTGAAAACTAAACACTGTAAAAAACGAAGATACTGCCCTACATTCACCGCAGAAGAAAAGAAGCTGCTTCTCTTTTAAATAGCCCCCCCTGAAGAAGGTGCCCAGCCGGCACCGAAACGTTGGGACCCTACGGTCTTTTAGGGATTGGTTGGCGTTTGCCCTTTATTTGTTTATAACACTTAACCCAACCAGGCAGACGTCTGCCGAAATCTTCACCTCCAAATGCTGTCGGGATGTGCACCATTAAAAAATTGGTGTGAAAGCAAATGACAGCTGTATGCTGTGCTGGGTTAGGAGACGGTGTTGTGTACCACAGGAGCCGAGTACCCGGGGGGCATGAGGGATAGAGCCTTTAGCCCTCCAGGCATCCTCTGTCTCTCTCTCTCCCCTCCCCCCCCCCCCCCCCCCCCACGCTGCCCTTGGAAATTTCCCGGGAGGAGCGAAAAAACGGCCTATTTAATTCATTTTGTTGGGACCCAATAAAACGAAATCTTTTCATTTTGCTTGACGCTATTATGGGTACGTTGCAACACAGCAATATTAAGTGGAGAAATATTTCTGTACTCACTACTTTGCAGAGATACCTTCACATCAGTGGGACAGTCTTGTACCTGTATTGTTTTGTTCTCAGTTGATCTGTCGAACATATAAACAAATACGAGTATGTTGAGACCTAGCTTCATGGGTGACTTTTATTGAGAAAAAAATGCATTAATACTGACTCTGCTGGTGAGTTTTTGAAGTACAATAAGAGAGCGGAAATCCCGGGAGGGGGTGAACCACAACATATAGGCACCAATAAAATTTAAATAAAAATATGAAACGTACTCCGAGCGCAAGTTCGTCTGCTTCTTGTACAGCAGTGGCAATGATGTCGGAACGCCAAGCTCTTATTGACTGATTGAAAAAAAAAATACTGGTTAGACCTTAAACAATCTATCATTGAGGTCTACCCACTATCCTTCCAATCAAAGCCAGCGGAACCCCTGCGCGAAAAGCAGACGACTTGCTTTCCGGATAGCTGCACAATTTATTAATATATATTATTAAACAGAGAAAAACACAACGCTTTTCGCAGTGAATACATTCACTGGAAGGTAAAGGAATGCGGGGCGTGGGGAACATGATGTACATGCTTCTTCCTTCGTTATTCGTTGTTCGGCTTTCTATGGAGCGCAAGTTTGTCGGCTTCTTATGCCGGGGTTGTGGTGACGTCAGAAAGACACCGAGCTCTGATTGGCTCTGATTGTAGGATAGCTGGTAGACCTCAAAGCAAGCTACCCGGAGGTCTACCCTTTGTCCTTCAATCAGAGCCAATCGTCACCACAACCCCTGCAAAAGAAGCAGAGAATCTTGCGCTCCGTATAGGCTAATACAGCAGTTTCATTCAGTACGGAGCCATATTTAAACGATCGGGACTCGTCACGCTCTATGTGTTTTTAAGCTATCAGTATTTATTACGAAACCCAGCATATTCTTTGAAGGGGCTGACTTCGTACTCGGACGTAATAAAACAGCTCACGCCCAGTACGTGTTTTCGTTTTCTCGTCTATGTGATTAAATCCAGATTAAACTCGTTGCTCTACAAATGTGAGCCATATAAAGACGCAAACATTACTGCCCACCTGCGTTTTCCCAATTGCGACACCCATTGCAGCCTGAGACGTAGCGAATCAGACCATTATTAATATATGCTTTGTAGTTTTTTTAAAGTAGATTAAGCCAATAGTGAGAATACTTTTGGTGGAGGAAAATCACATTACCCCTCAGTCAAGCGTGTTGTAATCTCGTTTGGGGAGTCTGCAACTTGCATGTCACGTGACCGGAACCGAAGTGACTATTGGCTGTGGTGCTCTTACTTTTTTTTTTTTTACTCCCGTATGGTAACCTGCCAATCCGGAAGTACGTGTAAACGACTTCATAATTTTCTTTATACGCGGAGAGCCAGACACTACGTGTTCAGAACAATAGATTGGCTGGGGTTGTGGAGGAGAGTAAAACAACAATAAAACCATACGGCAAACGAGAACCTTGGAAGTTAACGCCGTGCCAGGCCAGTTGCCATTTGCCTAAACACTGTTCGGCGTTTCATAATGTGCTTAAAAATAATTGCAGTTCCGAAAGTAGCCGGTGCTGGGACATTACGTTAAGCTCGAATATATATATATATATATATATATAGTGTTTCAAAGAACGCAGGCCAAATCGCTCCTGCGAAAACTACTCATCGCAAAGAAAAAAAGGCTTGTGGCGTTTTGGTCCTGGGCCAGGGGCCCATTTAAGAAAATTATTAAAGTCCGGGATAATTAAGTTGTTAATTATTTTTGCGTAATTAACTTTTTTAATATTTTGTTTAAGGGCATGATTTAAATTAGAAAATTGCTCAGCGTCATCTAAAACACTAAATCAACAAATTGCAGAACGATGGAAGGCACGCGAAGCATTTTACGGCTTTCTGAAGAACCGCACAATATCGACGGGTTTTTAAGTTTCGGTTTGCTATCGTAGCGCATCTCAGCCCCGGCGGCACCGCGCCCCGTAAAGAGATAGTGCAACCAACCTCTGCTGCGCTGTCATCGCGCGACGCAGCAGCACGCGGCACACTCAACAGCGCGCTCGTCTTTTCACCCTTCGTGATGGTGTTCTCTATAGACGGAACTACAAACCACATGGACTGCCCTGGCTGCTCGTTGCTCCTCGGACCCTCCAAAAAGGCATCATCGAATTTCACCACGTTGACCCTAACGCTGGACATCTCGGTTTCGCAAAGACATACTTCCGCGTGCGTTCAAAGTACTTCTGGAACGGCATGTATCGCACCATCAACAAGTACATTCGCACGTGTTACCAATGTCACCTTCACAAGACTCGAACCACCCAGTCATCTGGCCCTTCACATTCCATAACACCGCCTCATCGACCCTTCCAAACAATCGGAATCGATTTTCTCGGCCCATTTCCTTCGTCTACAAACAACAACCGGTGGATAATTGTCGCCGTAGACTATCTCACCAGATGCGCCGAAACAGCCTGTATTCCAACCGCCACAGCCCAAGAAGTGGCAACTTTCTTTCTACACAACATTCTCCCCCGGCACTCCCTCAGGCCATAATAAGCGATCGGGGCACACCTTTTCTAGCTAAGCTCCTCGATTATCTTTTGCGCCTGGCTAACACAACTCATAAATTGACCAGCGCTTATCATCCCCAAACGAATGGTCTAACAGTGAGAGAGTGCAGGCGAGCTGGTAATCAATCGTCATCTTGTAAACCCTGAGATGGGGAACGATTTGAGATTTTGTTGTGTTCGTCCGTTTTTTTATCGTTCCCCATCTCAGGGTTTTCAAGATGACGGTCTAACAGAACGCCTCAACCGCACGTTATCAGAGATGATGTCGATGTACGCGGCGGAAAATCATACAAACTGGGACGCGGTTGTCCGATATGTGACCTTCGCTTATAACACCGCGCGTCAGTCAACGACAGGCTTCTCACCGTATTACTTGTTATTCGCCCGTGAAACACTTACAACTCTTGATACTATTTTACCCTCCGTATATGAACCTCAAATGTCGTACCCTTCAGAGGTCATCTGCCGCGCGGAGGATGCTCGACAACTTGCGCGTTTTCAAACTCTACGATCCCAGCAGCAACAACAGCTCCGTTACGCACAGACGCATGGCGAAGCATCCTACAACGTTGGTGACGAAGTCCTTCTCGACACCCTACACCGTAAGCCTGGTAAATGTGAAAAACTGCTCCAGAAATACACTGGCCCGTTTCGCATTCTCCGCCGTCTGTCTTCTACAAGCTACGAAGTGTAACCAGTGGCACCAACTAGAGATCACCGCGCGAAGTCACGTGACATTGTCCTTGTTTCCCGCATGAAACCTTTCCACCCACCCCACGACTGGAGACACCAAGGACGGTGGACCGGCCCATTACCCGCCCGGGGCAAGTGTTAGGGAGAAGACGAAGCTGAAAGAGGAGGTCCAAGCTGCGCGCGCTCTTCAGCTGGGGCACAACGATCTTGTCTCTTGAACACCTCTATCCAGTCCTCATTAAATCACCCTTTTAACATCCTCACAATATATATATATATATATATATATATATATATATATATATATATATATATATATATATATATATATATATATATATATATATATATATATATATATATATATATATATATATATATATATGCATGTATGTATACGGGGTGTTTTTATTTTACACTTAACAGATTTCTTTTGAAAAAAAGAAAAGCCTTAAAAGTTACTCTTATGCGGTTTGTGTAGTTGAGTTATGCGCACAGGGGGACATACTATAGCGAACTAATCGTAACGATCAGTCGGCTCATTAATTAAAGTTTGTTAATTAATTTCTTTTATTAATAAAGGTAAGGATATGGTTCCAAATCGAAACTTGCTGTGTGTCATCGAAAACCACTAAATCAACTCTTTTTAAAAGGACATAAAGCAGGGCCAGCATTTTACGGCGTTCTTAAAACGCGCTTAATTTGGACGCGTTGCTGGGTTTCGCTTTTTTATCGGAGCGCATCTTTGCGCCCTCGGTCCTGCCCCCCGGTGGTCGCGGCGTGAAGCCATCCCCTCGCCTCCCTCGTAGCATGGAAGGTTGCGCGTCTCAGCAACTGGGGGGAGCGAGACCGCGGGCGCAGAGATGCGCTCCGATAAGAAATCGAAACCTAAAAACGCGTCCGAATTGAGCGTCTTTTTAGAACGCTGTGGAATGCTGCCCCTGCTTATGTCCTTCTAAAAAGTGTTGATTTAGTGGTTTTCGATGACGCTGAGCAAGTTTCTGATTAGAGCCATAGGTCTATTTGGATTACTTAAAAAGTTCATTTATTAATTTTATATAATTAGCCGACTGATCGCTACGATTAGCCCCGCTCCTGCAAAAACCACATAAGTGTAACTTTCACGGCTTTTTTAATCAAATCTGTGAAGTTAAAAAAGAACACCCTGTATATATATGTGTGGTGTCATGCGGACGCGCCGTCATCTCAGCTTGCAGATTTCGGTAAGGGCCCGTCCTCCAAGATATCTAGGGAACCACTCCTCCCCATAGGGACAGGCTGCACCGTATATGTAATAGTAATGAGTGAAGATTGACAAGTGCAGCCGTGGTAATATTGTGAAAAAAGAGGGGAGAGGGTGATTATTAAATTTATTGCAATATATATATATATATATATATATATATATATATATATATACCGGGTGTTTTGTTTTTTGTTCTTAAAGATTTGTTTTTAAAAAAGCCAAGAAATCTACAATTATCGGGTTTGTGCGAGTGAGTTTTACGCCCAGGGGGACATTATGCTCGCGGCTAATCTTCTCGATAAGTCGGCTAATTAATATAATTCACTAATTAACTTTATAATTAGTGAAAATAGACGAAAATAGACATATGGTTCCAGTTAGAAACTTGCTCAGCGTTATCGAAAACCACTAAATCAGTCATTTTCAGGAAGACTTTCAGCGCGTGAGAAGCGTAGTAGTGCACTAAAGTTACCACTCGTGGAGCAGCTACAAGGCCAGCAATTTCGGTAAGGCGCTCGCACAATTTTTCCGTCTCTTAGCTAGCCCCAGCCTTGTACCGGCTCCACGA